TCGGGGGAGGGGTTTTAAAGAGGCCAAAAATTGTGCAGGAAGAGAAAGATGCTAATTCATCATTTCTGAGAAAGACCTGAAAAATGCAGCAATTTCAAAGGTGTTTTTTTTCCTCCAAAATGTAAATAATTTCTATCTCCACCACTAGCCTCTCAAAATAACTCTTTCCAATATCCTTATAAGAGATCCTATTTCTGTGGTGACCTACTTTGTAGAGAGAGAGTAGGATGGGTGCGGCAGAAGCAGACAACACATCTGGGATTAGAACTTTGTGGCTCTCTCATTTGACAAGGCATTCTTTTTTTTTTAAAAAAAAAAGGAAAACAGGAATCCCTCTGTTTCATTTTAATTGCTTTGGATGTAAAAATAGGACACCATACTTACCCGTAAGAACTCCTGTCAGTTTAAATGTACAAAAGGCACTTTGAAAGTACACAAATCTAGTTTTTCAAATGCCATTTATCGTAAATGGCAACGGGGGAAGCAACTATGCTCTGTTTCATTCTATTTCGTTTCATCCTTCAGCTTGGTTTTTCATTTTTATACACTTCTAATTGATGGACCTCCTTTGCAGTGCTCCCCCCCCCGCAAATTCTGGAATGCTCCCCCGTCTCCTATACAGTTCTAAGTTTCTCGTTGAAGGCCTTTCTTTTATGCATGTTGATTGCTTGAGATTCCCCCCATACCTTTTCAATCATTTTTAATTGTCTTACGCTGCTGTTCTTACGATTGAATTCAGAAATGTCGACATAGATCACACTCTATCGGAAGCAATACAGATGAGGATAATAATGACACGATTAGAATACCATGTACCTTATGTGCCCACCAAATATGTCTGTGATTGGTGTCTGGACAAAATCTGCCTGTCGAGTGACAGAGGATTTGTTACGCGGGCCGACTTGTTCCCATTCGTCCTCGCTGCCTTCACCTTGTTCTTCCTGTTCATCCTCTTCGTTTACTAGCTGGGTCTCTGGGCCATTGGAAACTGTTTTTCACAGAGGACAAAGAGGGACACGGTCATCCCTGCCCAGGTTCACCACATAATGAAGGGGACGGATCATATTGTTTTGAAATGGGCTGCGAGGTGACACCAAAGAAACTTTCTGTGCAAAGCAAAGCATGGCTTTTCTCTAAACAAATGGTTTTATTCAAGGGCTGCATGATGGCGTGTCAAGAAGGTAAGGTTGAAGCATGGGTAGGGACAGAGACAAATACACAATCACACAACTCCAACCTTCATCCCAAAGCCACAGAAAAAGAAAAGAAAAGATTATTCTTAGCAGAGTCTAAGATATATTTTAGGAAGCAGAGGGATGTTGAAAAAAGGCTAAGGGTGACTGAAGGCTGCATATCTCTGCCCTTGATTAGGGTTACACTTCTGGCCAAATACATCATTTAAATCTATTTTAAAAGACAAGTTTCTTACACTAACTACCGTTAAAATTTCATGCCAAGAAGGTGGAGCAATGAGAAATTACCAAAAATGATTTTGCAAAGAGGGCTGGGGGAAGAAAGGAACCCGCCTTGAGTATGATTGGAAGTGCACAACTTAATCTGAATTCCTGTTTTTCAGCACTTACTTCATACTAAAGTTAAAGGGAAAATCATTAGCCATGATTTACATGGTGGAAGAAAAATAGTGGTGACTCATGATAACACAGCATTTATGCAGCAGATGTAAAAGAGTTACATGTAAAGAAGACTCATACATGTTAATCAGCTATTCGAAAACGTACTTTCACTATGTGGAGATAGCAATTTCTTCAGAATCAGCATTTCCTCATGTAGGCCATTTAGAATAAATCCTAGGTACTCTTCGGCATCTTCTTGTCTACCCTGCATAAATGATTTCTGCATTAGGTTACTCATAGTCACTCATCGTTCAATATTAAGAACTGCCTAGATTTAGCAATAGCAATAGCAGTTAAGACTTATATACCGCTTCATAGGGCTTTCAGCCCTCTCTAAGCGGTTTACAGAGTCAGCATATCGCCCCAACAACAATCCGGGTCCTCATTTGCTCAAGATCTCACTAACGAAGGCAAGGCTGTACACCCACCTCCATTATTCTCCCAAATTTTATTTTAAAATGGATAGGGTTTGTTTTTTTTTTGCATTCCAATTCCAGAATACATTGCTAAGACAATCCTAACCTGTTCCTCCACTGAATGGGCGTGTGTTTAAACCAAGGAGAAGGAACACCTGGAAGCCTCATGCTACTTCCTCCTTGGACACTCGAAGAGTTAAAATTCTGTTCCGATATTTATACTAACGGTAATAAACTAAACAAATTTAGGATCCATTCCATCATTGAGAACTTTTAATATGATAAGGCCTCCATCACACAGAAATGGCAGGTGGTCCTGGACTCACACCAGTTTGTTACAAATGCTACAATGGCACTGAAAAAAGTGACTTGTGATGGTTTTTCACATTTATGACCGTTGTAGCATCCCCATAGTCATGCGACCATAAATTTGGCTGCTTGGCAACTGACAGTTGCAGTGTCCCGGGGTCACTTCATCCCTTTTTGCGACCTTCTGACGAGCAAAGTCAAGGGGGAAGCCAGATTCACTTAACAACAGGTTGCTAACTTAACTGCAGCCATTCACTTAGCAAGCGTGCAACAAAGTTCATAAAATGGGGTAAAATTCATTTAACAAATATCTCACTTAGCAACAGAACCGTTGGGCTCAATTGTGGTCGTACATCAAGGACTACCTGTATAGCATTGGGGCCTATTGTTTGTGTACATCATTTGCTGAAGGTTTGGATGGGTAACGATACATAACCCTCTTCAGACCTTCTGACTGTCATGAACATTGCAATACATAATCCACTTCTTCTCTTCTACGTGTGCATTTCAAAGGAATTCCAGTACAGAATCTTTATTTATCCGTCTAGGGACTCTCCAACCTGCAGTTTAATTCTAAAGTGGGTTTTTTTTTCCTGACAGTGACATAGTTTCATATTTTACTTATAACCATAGAAATAAATGAGAAAATGCAACAATAAATACAAACAAGTTTAAAATAAGAGAAGTGGAAAAAAACTAATAAACAGAAACTATTTTTCTGACATCTCTAGAAATGGTGAGCATGAAACATGTGCATTGTTAAGAGTGGTGCAGTGGCCTAGAGGTGGAGCTGTCGGCTCACAATCAGGAGGCTGTGAGTTTGATCCTAGGTAGAGGCAGATATTTCTCTCTCTGGGCACACTGAGAATAGATCTGCTGATCAAAACTCCACGTTGGCGACAGGAAGGGCATCTGGCCAGTAACACCTCTGCTAGCTCCATTCAGTTAACCTAACCCAGACTCCACCCCGTGAGGGATTAGGGGGTTGTTAAAAGATGATGATGAAACATGCACATTGTCACTCATTGATTTGTGTAAACATTAATAAAACAATCAAATCTTTCAACTTATGTTAATCAACCCTCTTCATTCTAAACTCATGAAGTCTGAAATGCTGAAATTAAATCATAGTTTCCTAAAATTGGAAGATAAAGTAGTACCTTGTATTTGACACAATACTGGTTATGGCTGATGTGCTCTGAATCTTATCAGCAACTAAAACATTATTCCTGTAACCATTTCTTTACTATCTGGATATTCTAGACACAGGTGGATAATAAAACAAGACACATTAAAACACAATTCAAACAGCATTACTTACGTGGGGAATCCTCACCTTTTCTGACAGGCTGGATTTGATAACGGTCAACAATCTATAAATGTATGTGGGTTCAAAGGCAGCTCCAGGCCTGATATCTCGTGCAATTTTATCACTTAAAGCTGCAACCAAAAATTAGGGAAAGTTTCTAACGGTTAGCTGCTTGAGTATAAGATGACACAAACACACCCATACATCTCCAGCCAATCCATTATTCTTAAACATTTTACTAAACGAATATTGTGGTGCGTTACTTAGAAGTCATAACCATCAAAAAAGGAGAGCAAATATGGATCTATGAAAAACAAGGAAGGCTAATTTTTTTCCATGTTGGTAATGCCTATACCAAAGAGCTGGGAAGATATGAGACAGGAGATTAGTACGGAACTACAAATACCAATATTTAAAATATTGGTTTTGTTAACTTTTTGCTGGAATCACTGTTATTTAATCCATATTTTGACAGCTGCCTTTTTTAGAAGAAAGGCAGAAGACTATCAATTTAGCAGAATAACTGACATAAGAATATAATGGAACACAGCATGTTCAACAGCCTGCCTTCCACCCAGTTTTGCAATGTATGCAAAGAATATTAAAAATACAGAAGATGATCATCATCATACTTTCTTCACAAGGAAGACTGGATTTGGTTTGGTCTATTCTAAGAAGACACATTTCTTGGGGCAGGCTAGTTCAGATTAATGGTTACATTCACCAAAGATTCCCCCACTTTTGTAATAAGTTAGACAGAAGCGGGTATTTTATTACCTACCTTGTTTTGCCTTAGGAGGAACTGGCATGTTTGTAAACTCGTTCATTAGGCGGACACTAAACAGAAAGAAAACTGATTTCAGCAAGTCTAACTTTATCTACAGAGATACCTGTGCAACAATCCCAATGATGTGTGAAAAAGGTAAGGATCGGATATTCTTATAACATTTGGCGTCTGCCTGCTTCATTAAAATCTCAATTCCGAATGCCATTCTCTTATATATTTCATACATTTTCATCAGGCAAGAAAAATAAAAGCCCACAGGTGTTTTTTTTTTTTTTTTTTTTTTTTGCTAGAATAGGACCAGTATTTTATATTTCCCCATGATAGCTGGCTGGGGAAAATTATTATGGGAACATACTGCTTCTTTCTTCTCACATCAAAATTAGGATATTGCCAAACCAGAAAAAGGAAAAAAGACAAACAAGACGAGCCTTTTACAGTTGCATGTGGAGATCACAACGATTGTGGTAACATTAAGGACCGATTTCTAACTTTAAAATGTTCTAATTTTTTAAGAAGAGATCAATTTACAACCCCCAGCACCAACTGATGGGATATACGTACAAGCTGTCGATCATTGGCGTAGAAGTACATGGCCTCTGTGTTTTAGAAAACATCGGAATGGACTTCATCAGATGATACATGGGAGGGCAAGCTACCAAAGCCTGCAGTGTCTAGAGAATCGCATTAAGGAGTCGTAAAAACAAATAGCTAGATGCATTTTGCACAAACATCGGATAGCCTTTGGAATAAAATACACATTACTTTTTATAGTGCAAGGGAGCTACTGAATAGCTATTATAATAGCTACTGGCTAATGCTTACTTGTAATAAAATCCATTCATCCTTAGTACTTCAGAAAGGCAAGATATTAACAAACGTGGTTGACATATTTTCAAGGTAAGGATACAGCATTGATATAACACCAGTTTCCTTTATTGATCAGCCCTCGTGGTTGCAAGGATACTGGTTTATGTATTAGCTTTACATTTTCCAGTAATTCTGTCAGATGAAAAACAAATTCAAAGGCATCAACAAAAGCCTATTAAACACAGCTCGAAGCTATCGCAAATCAAGTGGGGAAAGTGAAAAACAGAATTTCAGCATCCCCTTGTGGTCAAAGGAAGCAATTTATCACAGTGTTTCTTGCCTACTACGGCATTGCTTCATCACAAAATTCACTGATATGGAGTTACAAATAAGGGAAATGGTATCACACATATAGCGTAAAACTTCACCAGCAAGTGCTCATCACAACGTGCAAGCATAACTGTTTATCATTTAACATTTATATTTATTCTCAGTATTCCCATTAGAACTGGTCTAAGGGCTCTTGGAAGAAAAGGATTAGATGCTGTCATTTATTTCTAATTATACATTTCAGGAGTATGAAAACATTACTTCCCAGCTAATACAATAATAATCATTAAGTAAATTCAAGGAGAGTTCAAGACCAGACTGTATCACAACTGTATTGATCTGGCCCAATATTCAGTCTTGTTCTGAAACAGTTGACTGAAGCTGTACTAGAAATTAAGCAAGACTAAGCAACTTTCCTTAAAGAATCAGATCCTTACTGACCTCAACACCTCTCTAACCAGCACTAACATTTAAGAGTCCCAATAATACATATTTAATAAAATCAAAAAGGCTTACTATGTACAAGTAATTCTCATTATAGATATAATCCTTGGAGCCTGAATAGTGGAAAAACCTAACAGTACTATTTTTAAAATGCTGTATTCTATATATTTGGAGTGGGTGGGGTTATCCAATTAGTACAATACCACTGGCTAGGTTATTATTATATAAAAATATGCAATTAAAATTGGCCAAATTTTAAAGGGGCAAACTGTTAAATTTAAAACGGGAGAATATGTTGCAGACATCTGTGCCATCACCGCTGTGTTGTCTGCATTTACTGTTGGATGTTCTACTCAAGATGAAGAAAATCAGCCTGAGAACAAAATGTTATTAAGTACTATTATTTTTATGGATCTGAAGCACAGATGATTTTATTTTTCCCAGTATGGAATGGGTATCAAGCTCAGGTCAAATAGATGTTAGGCAATTCAGTTAACACTGACAAATCCATAGTTTGTGGTTACGTTTCTATCATTTTCTGCAGCGGGCACGGTTAACTTATTCAAGATTGTCCAGGATGTTATAATCTGTTTTATTGTACTTTGGTTATCAATCTTACTTTATGAAGACTTAGCTACAGTTAGCGCTTGGCTTACAACCACAATTCCGCCTGGAATTGTGGTTGTAAGGCATGGTTGTAAAGCAAGACTCTCACGGGACTGCCTTGCTCAACAACCACAATCCCAGCCCGCCCCATTGCAGTCCTTAGATCAGTGTTTCTCAACCTTGGCAACTTGAAGATGTCCGGACTTCAACTCCCAGAATTCCCCAGCCAGCGAATGCTGGCTAGGGAATTCTGGGAGTTGAAGTCCGGACATCTTCAAGTTGCCAAGGTTGAGAAACACTGCCTTAGATGACCATGCATGTCATTAAGCAAATGCGCTGGGTGGCTTCAGGGTGTGGGCGAGTCCTTGGGAGGCCTGACACCCACCAGGATGTGGAAATATGTCACAGGTCACGAAGCCTTGCCCGGCTAGGCCTGGGACTTCTCCCTGCGCCAGCAAGACTGGATCCCCTCCATGGACTGGGAATCCAGGGCTGTAATTCTATGCAATCTTGAAGATGCCACCTCTAGGTGAGATGAGCAGTATACAATACAATAGCAGAGTTGGAAGGGACCTTGGAGGTCTTCTAGTCCAACCCCCTGCCTAGGCAGGAAACCCTACACCACTTCAAATGGCTATCCAACATCTTTTTAAAGACTTCCAGTGTTGGGGCATTCACAACTTCTGGAGGCAAATTGTTCCACTGATTAATTCTTCTAACTGCCAGGAAATTTCTCCTTAGTTCTAGGTTGCTTCTCTCCTTGATTAGTTTCCACTCATTGCTTCTTGTCCTGCCCTCAGGTGCTTTGGAGAATAGGTTGACTCCCTCTTCTTTGTGGCAGCCCCTGAGATATTGGAAGACTGCTATCATGTCTCCCCTGGTCCTTCTTTTCATTAAACTAGACATGCCCAGTTCCTGCAACTGTTCTTCATATGTTTTAGTCCCCAGTCCCCTAATCCTCTTGGTTGCTCTTCTCTGCACTCTTTCTAGAGTCTCCACATCTTTTCTACATCGTGGCGACCAAAACTGAATGCCGTATTCCAAGTATGGCCTTACCAAGGCCTTATAAAGTGGTATTAACACTTCACGTGATCTTGATTCTATCCCTCCATTTATGTAGCCTAGAACTGTGTTGGCTTTTTTGGCAGCTGTTGCACACTGCTGGCTCATAGTTAAACGGTTGTCCACTAGGACTCCAAGATCCCTCTCACAGTTACTACTACTATATAATTTAAACAAACAAATAAACAAATGTCAGATTTGGGAAAGATAAGTCAATGCCTTTGGATTGCCTTTACTTATTTGACCGAAGGGAAGAGGAAATTAAGACCAGTAGGAACTATTACCACTCATTCATAATATGCCAATTGGGTCAGGCAAGCTTTTAGCATGGTTTTACGCAAATAGGACTTAGGTTGGTTTTCCAGCTCAGTGTTCCATGGCTGTCCATGTTCCAAGGGGATTAGAGAGACATGAGCAAGTTCTATTCAACCAATTTTCCCAAGAGAGTTCAGTCCCTTCAGAACAGAAAGGGGCTAGATTTCAATCAGGAGAGTGGATGGAGTGGATGGGAATTTTACACGTCTGATATTGGGACCTGAAGGAAGTTAAACCTCAACTCAACTCAAAACAATACTAAAAACTTAACAATGTAGCACCACAGACACTCAATTACACATCATCTTCATTTAGGAGCTACGGTTGAGGGTAGGAAATTGAAGAAAATCATGTGAACACAATGGGCATATGGCAGAAATCATTGCATTAGTTGAGACATTACAACGACTGCAACTTGCAATTTTACTTCCGCATACTCCACTAACCCCTACTTGTAAAAAGATTGTAGCGCACATGAACTGCGATCATGTGACTGTGGGACAATGCATACGTAAATGTAAGGCCTGGATGCAAACCTGGATTATTGGGGTTTTTTTTAACACTACTGTAACTTCAAATGGTTGCTAAATGAGGCAACCAGTAAGTGAGTGCTACCTTGTAACGCTATTTTAACGTCAATGGAGATTCTCAGTCACGATTGGCCCAAAGGTGCTTTTTTCAAAAGGCAACTGGACTTTTACATTTTTTTCCCCTTGAAGATACTTTGCTTCTCATTCACAAAGCTTCTTAGGAGTGGTGCGGTGGCCTAGAGGTAGGGCTCTCGCCTCACGATCAGGAGGTTCTGAATTTGATCCTAGGTTGAGGCGCATAGTTCTCTCTTTGGACTTAATGAGAATATATCTGCTGAACAAAACTCCGCATTGGTGACAGGAAGGGCATCCAGCCATTAAACACTTCTAGGTCTATTCAGTTGCCCAGGCTCCACCCCACAAGGGATTATGATGTCATTAAAAGATGATGATGATGATTCACGAAGCTTCTTCAGTTCAGTTCTTTCATTTCCCACCATTCGGTCAGAACTGAAGAAGCTTCGTGGATGAGAAACGAGGGGGTGGGGTGGGTGGGGAAAGCACCTTTTGAGATTTTTTTTAAAAAAATACTTTCTTGTTCAACCCAATACCATGGTCCTCTCACCACACAATTTTCCTCCTATTTTAACCTCACTTATCTTCAGCTCAACCCTGAGCGAGTGATACCTGCAATCTTTATGGCTACAGGATCTTCAGACACTGGAACGGGCCCCTCTTTGACGTCAACCTGTTTCTCAGGGACCACAGGAGATACGGCAGGAGGGATATACTTAGTCTCCACATAAGCCATAGGCGTGGAAACCGAGGGCTTTGAGTTGTGAAACAGACTTGCCCATGATTTCGCAGGCTGATTAACCACCATTGATCCTGGGACAGGGGTGACCGCCTCGGTTGAAGGGGGGGAGGCCTCCTCCGGCTTAGCTTGGTCTGAGTCAGTGTTTTCCGCAGTCTGCAAGTCCACCCCGTTGGCAGTTGTGCCCTCGCTAGAGCATTCAAGTGTTTGCCCATTGGTAACGCCAAGGTTTTCAGTAGTTTCAGCACAAGGCTGCACGACAGCTGTCCTTAACGGGCTGTCTCTCTCATGATCAGAGGAGACACAAGACTGTTCCAAATTAGTAACACTGCATACTTCTGGCTGCCCTGCAGTTCTGGTAGTATCTAGAGCGCCGGAAACCAAAACCAAATCCTCCGATACAGCTTCACTACTGAAGTCCACAGAATTGTCAGGGCTGTTACAAGTCCTTGGCACGTCACCTGCAAAATCTACATCGTCTATGCTGATGCTATTAAGCCTGGGCGAACCGGCGTGTCCGTTGATCAAAGCCTCGGCAGGAACACCGTCGCTCACATCTTCCAAATAACTGTAATATCCCGGGGGCCTTTTCTTTTTCTTTTTGCGTTCCCGCTGTCCAAGGCTCCCGGAGAAACTATCGTTCTCGGCATTGGAGCCATTATCCAAAGCAAGGGAGGCGTCGCTGAACTGGCAGTCAAGGGAGTTGTGGTTGGTTTCGCCAAGGACATCGCTGGGTGTCTTGGGGGTCGGGGCACAACCGAGAATGAACTCCGGTGCCTGAGGGTTCAGGGTGCTTGAAATACTGTAGTCGCTGTTGTTCAGCACAGACGAACCTGCCTCAATCACTTCGTTAACACCAAATTCAATTCTCTGATATTCCTCTCCTAGGAGAGAGGAAAAAGTGTTACAATACACAGCTATTAAAGAAAGTGTGGAAAAAATGAATAAGGCAGGAAAAAAAGCTTAGATTTCACGGATGCAAAAAAGCTGGGTGAATGCGAATCATTAGCTCAAATCAGATATTTAGAAAATCTCAGGGAAAAGTAAGTATAATCTAGTGTTAATTATCAGTTACCTCCTTAATATAAATACCTTAACTGGGATCACACATACACACACACACGCATATGCATAGTGTGTGTGTGTTCATGAGACGGGGGGAGGGGGGGAGAGGGAAGGGAGGCAGGAGAGTGCACTTTGGAGTAACTGCACAGGACTGCTGTTGTACCAAGTGTGAATTCTGCCCAGTGAGAAATTCACCATGAGCAAAATATATTATTTCTAATATATCAAAGGACACAACCTAACATTATTTTTGTTTACTTCCTGCGATAAAACAGTTTAAATATTTTTTTCTTTCAAATGTTTCAAATAATGTCCCTTCCCTCTCTAGAGAGCAAACTAATTACGTAAAAAGCCACTTCTGATTTTCTCCAATTTCAAAGACGGATTTCATAACCAAGAATCCAGTAATTTTAAGAGTTCCATATAAGGAAGAATTATCATAGACACCCAAAGGGGCTCAAGATACCTAGCCGATTTAAAATTTAAACAAATCAAAGGATCAGGGAGAAAGTAGGATAAACTATTAGTTAAAACATGCTATGAAATAGGAATATTTCTGGTAATTGGGTTAGTAAGCTTAAGCTGCAAAAGTAATCCAAATCCCCAAAGCTGAACTCAAGTAACGAACCTGCAATACACTGGACTTCAAAAGGGTTGGGAAAACAGTGGTGAAGAAGGAATGGCTTCTTACCATCATGGAGCTCTCCTGTGGACTTAAGACCACATGAAATGGTGTCATTGTAGGGAGGCAGCTGCGAAGAAATAGATGAAGAATTAGGGAAAAATTATTTTAACACCAGCAAGTTATTGGTTTATTCAATGATACAACGCATTTCAAATCTAAAACATGGTTAAGATAGTAGACAACCATGCTACAGTCTAGCCTCATCTCTTTCCTCTTGAATGTTATGTGCTCCTTCTTTTATACCAGGGGCCGCCAACCTTAAACACTCAAATAGCCAGAAAGGTCCTAACCGGAAGTCCTCCATTCAATTCTGGAGCCGACCGGAAGTCTGGTTCCCCCACCATAGAGTCTCCTCCTAGTGTGGCATCTTTTTTCCTGTATCTGTCCTAACTGAAAATCCTATCAACAGTGGAGTCGACTGCCGACAGGGAGCCGCAGCAGAGGGATGAAAGAGCCACATGCGGCTCCAGAGCCACGGATTGCTGACCTCTGTTCTATACAATAGGAAAACATAGGGTTTTTTCCCTGAATTATCTGAAGTACGTACAGTGACCTTTGTTCCTGAGACTGTTAAAAGAAATTTACACATTTATCAGAGGAAAGCTACTTTTAGTAGACAAAACAAACATAAGACTTAAATTGAAGCAGGCTACAATGGCAGTGCTTAGGATTTATTGCTCTTTATAAGGACTAGAACTTTTTTTTCACTTTTTAAATTTTTTAATTTGCTCTTACCTCAACGGAGCAACGGGGAGTCACAAAAAACTGATTAAATTCATCAGGGCTGAATTCCCCAAAGATATACTGAAAAATAAAACACAAAAGTAAGTAATTTATGAATTTCAATAGACTCTTGACACGCTGTGGCTCTTCGGCACAGGGTACCATAAAACCTTGCCTTTTGTTAAAAAATAATGTTACTACCTTCATCAAGTCCCTTTACTAGAAAATTAAGAGGATCATGAGAAGCTAACAAGCACCCATTTCTGTGTCCAGTCGTAACAGGCAACTCAAGTTACAATCTTAATATACTAGATTCTGGGAAACCAGGCTGTATCTATAATCTAAAAACCAATGCTACAGTCAGCTGGGGCAGTGGAGCATAGGATAGTGGGGATCTGGGCTGGTATTACTTCCTGGGGCATACCAAGCAGCAACAGAGCCATGAGGTTCGAGGGCTACTTGCTGCCCTGCAAGGCAGTGTACAAGGGAGCCAAAAACGTCAGAGAAGGGATGGAGGGGAGAGATAGACGGTGGGAGGAGGTGGAGACAGCCACTTATGTAATTGAGGCTCCAGCTGGGAGGGACCAAGCCTGGAATAGTTTGGTTTGGGGGGTGGGTCCTCAGCTAATGACTGGTAAAATTTGCTTAATGACAGCGACATGGGCTGTTGTCACAATGTAATTGACGATATGTCAATTTATAACTGCATCACTTAGTGACTGAAATTCTGGTCCTAATTGGGGACGTAAATCGAGGATTACCTCTGCTAAAGTAAAATTGGTTTGGAAATCTACTTAAAGCATTTGTTAATCCATTAAGGACTATCTAAGCAGCTGGTAGGTATCAGCTATGCAACAACTCAAAGCAAACTGACAACTTAAGCATGCCAAAAGTCACTCTCACATTTCAATGAATTTTCAACAGCGCTAATCAAACTAATTTCAACTGATACTATACTCTGGCAATGTTTCAAATTACAGCAACTAGCACAACTTGCTGAACTGTAACCTGAGATGAATGTGTTAGATGAAGCTATGCAACACAACTAACATTTAAAATGCCGTTTTAACAACTTATTCCTATATATACACACATTCTTCTTAAAGGCTTCAATGTTTAATTTACCACTTTGCTGAAGCTGTGCCTCAAAATACAAACTGATTATCCCCCTCCCCACCCCCAATCTTAGATTATTATTTATGGAGTAACATTTATCCTTGTACAATTATTCCTTCACAACGAGACAAAGCACGAAAACCATCTTTCCAACAGTTCAAATCATTTATCTTTTGCTGAGCTGCTTAAGAATGGGCTCCTTGTTATTCAATCACAAAGGCATCACACAAAACCCACAATAAGGGTCAGGAAAGCACGGAGGAATAGTTCCGCAAACTTCATTTAAACAGCCTGTGCAGGTAGCCCTCCACCACAATAGGGATCGGGAAATTTGTCATTAGGCAGTAGTGTCATTAAGTGAGGTATCATGTGACTGCACCTTTCCTGCCATGGTCATTAAGCAAATGACCATCAGCTAACCATGATTTGCAACCTCCTGCTAGTTTCCCCACTGACTCTCAGAAGCTGACAGGGAAAGTTGCAAATGGCGATCAGAATTTAGAATTTAGAATTTA